GCCGGAGAGTGGCCTGGCTGCTGGCCAGGAGACAAACTATGACCTCCAGGGGCAGGCAAGGGTCCTCTCGAGGACCTTCCCCTTGGTGACCTCGGCTCTGCCTTTCCAGAACACTCGACCCTTACCAGGACTGAGGCCTTGCCCAGTCACATCTGGGCCTGCACCACGAGTCGGGTTCCTTTAGGCATGTCACATCCTCACACCCAGCACTGATGGGACCTGTGCCCTCTCGAGCCTGCGGTCACGTCTCAGCTGATAGCACGGCAGCCAAGCTAGAGCTCTGGACATTTCCTAAGCCCTTTCCTCTCCTTCACACCCTCTAGTCACCACGCACACTCCTGATCTCACCCCCTCACCATTTCTCAAAGAAGCTAACCCCTCTTGTTATCATGTAGCTCGTTTCTAAAAAGTGGATCACCAATCAAACGTCACCACAGCCTGGATTGCTTGCCTCGCCTCCGGGAGTTGGAGTCCAGGTTCTTCTGGCTTTAAGTAATTGAATGAAATAAACAAAAAGCAGCGGCAAAATGTACTTGAGAAAATAAAAGTGAAGTGTGGGAGAGAAACTGGATCTGCAGAGCGAGCTTGAGCCAAGCAAATGGAAAGAGGGAAAGAGGAAGGATAAAAGCACACACTGCATCTGGGAGACAGCGCGGGCTGCTACAGAAACAAGGGCACGACAGCACCGGCTCCTCAGGGGGAGCCCCCGAGAATGCCCGGTTCTGAGGAGCAGTGTTGGGACCCCTCGCCTGAGGCTGACTTCCGGTCTGGGTATCCGACTCAAACCCTGCTGCCGTTTTCGGGAGCAGTCCACACACGGGGCTTTGGGAGCTGCTCACGCCTGGGATCTTTTACTTCCCCAGCCAGTTTCGCCGTGCCCTCATCTCCTACCTCACTCTCTGTACCCCTGCATCTGTATGTGCCCAGATAGCACCCCTTCCCCCCAGGCCACCACAGTGGGATTCAGTGGCCCTGTGGAGCGTTTCCAGGATCCCGCACTGCTAGCCAAGACTGCTCAGGGCCAACCCAGCTTCCTAATGCAGGCTCAACTCCCGCTTCTTTGCCTAAAAATGACCAGGTCCCCTAACAGCTCATTATTGTGTGCTTCCACTGGTCCTCCTTCCCCCTTCCTTGTCAAAAACTGTCACAAGTCTGAAGTTTGGGTTTGGGATTTACAAGCTAGCAAGACAGCTGGCCATGTTTCGTAGGTGCTGGAGGACACGAAACCCCTGGGTCAGAGACAGAAGATTTCAAAGGGCAGGGAAGGTGGCTCCAGTGTCATATTTTGAGGCCGTTTTTTTGCCCAGTGTCCTGAGGGTGCTACAGAGCTGGGCCCAGATAGCTCTGTGACATGGCTTAGAACCTTCCAGTTTAGGAAATAATCTCTTCAAGAAGGGCCCTAGCAGGCCTGTCCACATTTTACTCTGGAAGGGGACATTATTTTTCCAAGGTAAGAAATGTTATGTTATTAACCTAACAAGGAAAAAACATATGCCTCTTTCCCAGAAGGGAGAAATGAGCTGAATCTTCCAAGGCTACTCAAACACCTTTAAAAAAGTTTGAAACAAGAACTATCAATGAGTCTTTTCCGAGGCAGGCAGAAATGTAAAGGGCCAGTGGCCAGTGGCCTCTCAGCAGCCCCCTTCCTTCGGCACCCAGCTACGCCTTGCCCTGCCAGCCCGACTCAGCCATTTCTGTCTCCCAAAGACTCCTGGTTCCTCCTGCGGCTTGGCACCCCATTCCATGCCCATCAGGCCCTTCAGATGCTGTTATATCTTCCGTCATCATTCTGGTCACACAGAGCTAAAAATCACCCCAACGCATAGCAAGCTCCCGAGTGCTTGATACTGCGAGCGCCTCAGGGCACTGCAGTGCTCTGGCCCGGCTGTGGCCAGTGGCAGACAGAGCAGAGACTGGATTTGCCACCTGTCTTCTTAGCCATGTGACTGGTGGCAAACAGTCTCTGTGACTGTATGAGCCAACGCTGCAGCTATTTACCTTTACAAAAAGATTAGAGACTCCTGCCCGATCCTGCCCAGGAAGCTGCAGACTCCCTACAACAAGCACTCGCATTGTAAGAATCAGAAAATTGAGGCAGGTAATGAGGGCTTCCGTCTGGCCTGGGGCCCAGGTCTCCTGCTCCAAGGTCAGGCTCTTCCTATCACTCTGCTGAATAGGTTTCTAACCCTGCAATCACAGATTCTGAGTTCCCTTTCCGCCCAGAGCCATTGAGCTGCATGGAGATGGTTCCCAGAGATCTTTCTTCAGAGGCCAAGATTTCCCAGAAATCAGTGTCACAATGCGGCACTGCACTTTTCTCCCCTGAAATTCCTGGTCCCCATGTGACCTTCATGCAAAAACAGGGTCTGCTTCCTGTTCCTCCCCCTCCCACCCCACATGAGCTGTCCAGCAGCTGGCAGCTGCAGTCTTGGACTCCGGCCACCTGAGCACCCACATTGTGACTGTCACGCAAGGTTTTCAGACACGGCTCAGACAGCAGAGAGGAGAAAGCAAAGTCTCCGTGTGTGTGTGTGTGTGTGTGTGTGTGTGTGTGTGTGTGTGTGTGTTTGTGCGTGTGTGTCCTTCTCAGGGCTTCTGTCTGCTCTGCCCTTCTCACCAGCAGGCTTGGTCCCCAGCACAGACTTAGAACTGGCACTCCATTTCGATGAGGTGGGGAGAGATCAGGAGTTTGCAGGATGGACAGGGCTCTGCTGCAGGCTGGCCATGAGCAACAGGGCACACTTGTGTCTACGGAAGCCCCAGCGACCTGTCCTAGCATGGTTCAGGGCCAGGAGAAGGCACAGAGTCAGCTCCTAAGGGGCAGGGGACAAACATCAGGGAGGACACACTCATGGGTTCTGTCACTGACTGTGACCCTGTCACCCTTGAACACACATGCATGACTCTGTGCTTGGGCCCAAGGAAAACCAGGACCCAAGCTGACCCTGGGGCCCTTGGTTAAGACAGCTCTGTGATCCTCTCTTTACCCAATTGTCACAGCAGGGTCCCTGAGAGCTGGGCTCCCATGGGCAACACTCACTGGGCTTTGGATATCTACAAACTGGACACTTGGAACGCTGTGTGGGTACAAGAAACCGAGCCCTGGATGTGGGCTCAGCCAACTCTTAGTTGAGACTTCCTTTTGGCCTTAGGGAAGTCACCCTTGTTAGGGACAAAACTGGGCCCATTCCCAACTCATATGTTGAAGTCCTGACCCCGGAATGCAGCTGTACTTGCAGAGATAGGACTGATAAAGAGGTGACTAAGTGAGGTCACTAGGGCAAGGTCACTAATCCAACAGGCCTGGGGCCTTGCAGGATGGGCGGGACCAAGGATACACAGGAGCCGGTGGGAGGCTGTGAGGACCCAGAGCGCAGCAGGGCTTCTTGCAGGCCTCAGGAGAGCTACCTGGCCACCTCTTGCACGCCGGCGTGCAGCTCCAGAGCTGGGAGGGGGTCACTCGCCGCTTCTGGGGCTTCATCACAGCAGCCCAGTCCTACTCAGACGCCCTTCTTTGAGCCCTCCCAGTGTCTCCTCTCCCACCCCTCCCCTATGAACGGCTGTGCAGATGAATGGCAGGGAGCCACTCCAGGCACCGGCAGCCTGCAGTGCAGCTCAGCAATGCCACCCCCGGCTGGATCAGCCCCTTTGGGCAGAGGCGCCCAGGTGACAGAAGCCCTTCTGAGTGGTGGCCTCGGGTGGAGTCTGGCCCATGAGTACAGTGTCCTTCCAGCAGCACCCTCGGTCCAGCCCACTGGCTCTGGCCCCTTCCCAGGCATAGACCCTCCGAGCCCCAGTCCCGCCGCACTTGGGCGGGTGAGGCCCTCTCTGAGCCCCTCCACTCCTTCCAGCCCAGCGGAGGCAGTGGTTCCAGGCTCTAGCTGGGGCGTCAGGCTGGGCAGCCCTTCCCAGCTTCCGTGGCATTGCGGAAGTATGGAAGGGGACAGGGTGGCACTGGACACTGACCTCCAGGGCTGAGCTTCACTTGTGCACTGGCTGAGTGGTCAAGGGTTTAATCACACTGGGATGCTACACATTCTGTGTCCTCAAGACCTACAAGAGTGCTGACATTTAGTAGCACTTTAATTTTTAATTAGTCCGTGTCAAGGACACATACAAATCATCCAGATCTGTTAAAAGAAGTAAGATCTCTCTCCCATGAGGGAGAGAAGCACAGGGTCTTGGGGACACGGCCTCTACCCTGGCCCAACCTGGGTAGAGGGAGTGTCAAGGAAGGCTTCCCGGGGCAGATGGGCTTTGAAGCACGCATAGGAGTTGACCAGGTGAAGCTCACAAGGAATGGTATTTCTGGGAAAGTAGCAAGAGGAGGTTCAGGGAATGACCCAGAGCTTGAAATGTCAGGAAACAAGGATGGTGGGCATGAGAAGATGACCATGCTGAGGGGTAAACAGGGCCAGGGTCCTTGGTGTTGAGGCAGGCCCTCCGTACAGCCTCAGGCTGGGGTCACGCTGAGGACATGGCCAGGCTAGTGAGTTCCGTCAGAGAAGGAAGCGCCATTTTTTCTGAAATGGTTTTTATTACACAGCCCCCACACTGCCTCCTGCAGCGATCCTGTATCTGCCCAGGCTGGGCCCTGTCGCTTGTGCTACAGCGTGGGTGGCGCTAGTCTGGCCTGGAAGCCCCGTAGGGCTCAGGCCACGGGGGACAGGGTGCTCTGGCCGAATGCAGGCTCTGGGCTGGGGCACCCTGAGAGCTGTTCCTGAGATGCCGGGCTGAGCAAAATACCCCAGCTCCACCCTGAGGGGATGGGGAGCAGCGGCGGCCAGGTGCCCCCTCCTGGCCAGTCTTGGGGAAAACAGCTCAGGCTCCTCCTGCCAAGACCAAGGCCAGAGTGGGCCATGGAGGAAGAGGGCTTGGTCTGAGAGGGGGCCGCCCTGCGCAGGGGGCAGCTTTATGCGGCAGCAGGCTGGAGAGCCTCTGGGAGCCTCAGTTTCTCTTTCTGTCTAATGAAGAGCATGGCCTCCCGTCTCACTAAGTGCTTTTGGCTTCATGTTTTCACAATGATCCTGCCTTGGGTTGGCACGCACATGTGACCTTGGGCTTGTCGCTGAGAATGTATGTACACGTGCGTGTGGTCTGATAGGGGACTGGGTGCGCAACCCAGTGGGTGACCGGGGAGGCCCCCCCATCCGGTCCCTGTCGTTCTGATCAGGCCGCCGGCCTCCGCCTCACAAGAAGTTGGGCTCGCGCACCACCAGGCAGGGCGGGCCGCCGTCCGCGCCGTTGCCCAGGGGCCGGTACACGAAGTGGAAGTCGCGCTTGGGCTCGCTGCGCAGCAGGTAGCCCTTGATGCGGTGCGGCAGCGCCTCGTCGGCCAGCTGGAAGCAGCGCCCGTCCACCAGCACGAAGAGCCGGTAGTCCTCCGGCTGCGCCACCTCGAACTTCTCCGCGCACTGCGCGCACAGCGCCTGCGCCGCCGTGTCCGCGCGCGACGCCAGCGTCCGCGCCTGCTGCTCGGGCTCCAGGTACGACACGCAGATGAAGTCCTGCGGGCGAGACGGGCGCCTGCGGTCACGCGCGGGGCCGGCGGGGATGGCAGGAGCGATTGCGAAGCGGGGACCTTTCCTTTCTGTGTGGGGAGGACCCTTCCCGGTGTCATTTTTGAGTGGTAATCCTCATTACCACCCAGAGCGTCCCCTGGTGGTCAGTCCAGAGGCTGGCCCTCACTCCTCGCGCGCTCACTTTCTGACCTCGTCCATGGGTCCTCCTAACTCGGGGTGGTGTAGGGTGGGGACGGCAGTGTGCTTAGGATCAGAGATGCAGAACCTACCCCAACCCCCACAGTTTAGCCCCAGAGGCTGGATTTACGGTTCAGAGGCAGGGCGGGGAGACGAGAGTTGGGGTGGGGTGGACAAAATCGGGGAGGGGAGCTGGGGTAAGGACTGCGTGTTTAGGACAGGGGCATCGCGTGAGCAGGGTACACGCACACGCTCTTGTGCACACACGAATACAGCACAATCACCACCTTCACCAGCCCTGGAAAGAAGATTGCGGCCCCTGAGCCCCGTGACCTTCCTGCCTTTGAATCTGCGCCCACTCACTGCGTGACCCTGGCTTCTTCCAGCCTCTGCTTCCTCAGCTGCTAACCAAGGATCACCGCGGTGCTGACATCACGGCTGTGGGGCGCAGGTAAAGCCAGCCAGAGCCTGGACTGGTTTGTCTCCCCGTGGGATTTAGCTCAAGGGTGCGGGGCTGCCCCCTGTTGGACAGAGTGGTAACAGCAAGCAGACGGCACCACAGCATCTACACCAAGGTGACAGCGCCCACCAGGGGGAGTGGAGACCCTACTGGCTACAGAGTACTGAGTGCTTCAGGCTCCTGCCCTTCCCAGAGGGAAGGCCCAAGCTCCCTTCTCTGGGTGCCTTGGAGGCTGCCTGGGCTCTCCTTGGCCCCGCAGGCGTCCTTGGGGACCTTTACTCACACTGCCCACTACTGGGCAATCGCTGCCCAGGAAGATTTAAGGCGTGGGGTGCAGAGGCAGTCCTGGGAAGGGCAGGCCCTCCAACGGCACTGTAGGGGTTCCCATTGCAGGCTTCTCCCAAGCTTCTGTCTTCCCAGGGTTGGGGTACAGTTCACCAACGCCCTGCCTGACCCAGCATTGAAAACCACGGGGCAGCAGCAAGAAAGAGGGGCTGCTGGGCCCGCAGGTCAGAAGGCCCACATGCCCAGAGCTGGGGAGGGGGCAGGCAGGCTGCTGGGAGGGGCCAGGGAACAGCTGTGGGCTGGAGGTGGCTCATGCCAGCCCCTCATGCCAGCCTGGGAGAGCCAGTGGCAGGCATCTCCTTCCAGATCCAAACTCAGTGAAGAGAGCGGAAATGGGTGTAAACAGTCCCAACATGGAAACTGACAGAAGCTAAAGTCAGCCAGTTTTAGGATGCTGCTGATTGGAGGAGGGGCAGGGACATCAGCGTGGCAGCCCTGAACATCTGGTTCCCAGTTGGCCTCCTGGGATATGGAAACTGAATCCCAGAGAGGGGTGGGGACTGCTCAGGGTCACGCAACAAGCTAGAATGGAGCTGGGTCCACAACCTGAGTCCCCCGCACCCCAGGCCTAGGCTCTTTAAACTGTACAGGGGTCATCTTGAAAGCCAAGAGTGGGGTCCAAGACTGGTGTGCTCTGGGTGCAGAGGCTGGCTGTGTGGCTTACTGACCTAATTTCTTCCGGTCTCCACACATGGCAGACCTGCTCTGTCCCAGGTCCTGGGCCTAGGGCCACTGAGACACATAAGCAATGAGCCACCCTTCTGGAGGATGCAACATGCTGTGGTTCATAATGCTGTGAGAAAGCACAAAGGAGGGCGGTGTGCTCTTGGAGGTGGGGGGATGGGTATATGGCTTCTCAGAGGGGCTGCTGGAGAAGGGGGAACACTGGATGGAGGCTGAGGAGCCAGGGGGCTGAGCTCAGCTTGCTCTGGGAACTGTGGCAGGATCTGTTGCTCCTGGGGTGGGTGGGGTGTGCGAATGGAGGAGGAGGCAGGAGTCTGGCCTGGAGCCCTGAATCACAGCTGTACAGAGATGTGGGGAGGCTCAGCCAGAAATGTCTGTCCAGGGACCCTGGGGCAACTCTGGAGATAAGCTGGGATCTCTATATCTCCAGCCCTGGCAGGATGCTGGGACAGCATACGAGTGACAGTGGGTGGACAAACATCTCGGTCCTCTTTGTAGTCAGCCTATCTGCCAGACTAGACCCCTGACATCTGGGAGTACCCTTCTGGAACCCCCTTTCCCCAACCGCACCCAGCACACCTGCACGGAAGAGCGTGAGGCTCGAGCCTTGTTGAGCGTGCGCCTGCGCTCCCAGCGGTGGATGGAGTCCTGCACCTCCACGCTCAGCTGCCGGGTCACCGTGATCTTGTCATAGTTCTTGATGTGCTCCAGGGCCCCGTAGGTGGTGGTCAGATAGTAGGAGCCTGCAGGGAGTCATACGGGTGGGGCTGAGCCAGGATTGCTGCAGCCAACCACCAAAGGGAGAGGGTGGTCCAAGTCAGCCCGGTCCACCCAGAGCCTAAACCTCACAAGCCCCACCCACCTATTCAAGACCCCGCCCACCTCCTTCGCGCTCCACCCACTGCTTTCTCTGGCAGTCACTTGCTTCAAAGTCTGGCCTCCCCCCTTTGCCTCCCCCAAAGTCGTGAGGCCCTTAATATCCAGCCCTGCCCGGAACTTTCCAATGGCTCCTCTTTGCCATGCAACACTGGCTTATTTTTTAAGTGATGTTCAAAAATGAGTTTTTAAGTATTTTACTATTTAAAGGACACAAATGTGGATGCTTCCAGCTCGGAGGAAGGGGTGGCTGGGAGGCAGGGCGGGTCAGAGACGGCTCACTGGGTATCAAACACAGTATGTGCTTTAAAGTATGTGCCATGTGAATATATTATCCGTTCTAAAAACAATTTTTAAAAGACGCAGAGGAAAATTTAATTAGAAGGTGATGTTTTTGATGTAGATAAGCAAGACTTTGAATTATTCAGGTTTCCATTTCTTTTTCCCTTCTTGGTTAAGTTATGAATATTCTTTATCCCTAATGTTGCCTTCAAGACACTTTGAACTGCAAACTTCACCTGTGGATGCTCATGGTCCTAAGCTTGTTAGGGGCTTTGGTTAAAAAATTCGAGAAGTCCTAAGCCTGCCAGGTCCCTCACTTTAGACAGCAAACCAAAGTCTAGAGACAGAATGTGACTTAGCCGAGGTCCCACAGTGACCAGGGTCCCCGGGGAAGGAGGGCCCTGTGCTGGGCTCTCTCTGACCTCTGGTGTTACCTACTTCCTGGTGCTGCTTCCTTGGGTCTCTCTACCCCTCGCCAGACCTTTTTGCTCTTCCCTGAAGGGCCAGGTCAGCGATATTTTTTTTCTGGTACTGGGGACTGAACTCACGACTGTGTGCTTGCAAGGCAGGTGCTTATGAGGCTGAGCTAAATCCCCAACCCCCAGGTCAGTGATTTTTTGACATGAGGCAGATCTGCTAGGGGTCCACCCAAACCCCACCTTCCCTTCCTCACTAAGTGAATGCCACTGTCCCTTGGGGAAGTAACACTGGGCTGAAAGTATCTGCTTCCAGGCTCCTTGGGAGGCCCTTGTTCTGGCTTTTTGGATGTGAGTAGGAACTCTTGGTGGGGCCTTTTGAAATGCACAGACTCTGAGTCTATCCTTTTGGGCTTTGCTTGGCCCCTTGCTTCTTGCCTGGCACGCAGAGACGAGCCCAGAGCTGTCTTGTGACCAGAGGGGACAGGCACAAAGACAAAGGCTCACGTACTAAGGAGAGAAGCCAAGAGCCAGATCTGTGATTCTCTGAAGAATGCCTATAGTAAGCTGCTGTCATATCAGCTTTCACCCTGCTCTTCCTGGCTCTGATCCAAGCCATTGTTGGTGACACTGAGCTTACCTGCAGCCCAGAGCATTCCTGGTACAGCGGATGTAGCTGCCTGCATGCTCCGACAGACTTCACAGCCAGGAGGGGTAATGATCCCACATGGCTGGGAGGCTGGGTGGGTGGGTGGGGGATAAAGGGTTTGATGGCTGACGGGTCACCCACCCTTTCATAGAAGAGATACTTTTAAAATAAGAATTGCACTACTAACATGGAACTTGGTGCCACATCTCTATGCAAAGAAGAGCCCTTCCTAGTTGAGCTCAAAGCCCCGGTGGTCAGGAGCTGTCCTGAAGAGTGCAGTGCCCTGGATGAGAACATTGTTTTCAGAGAGCAGCCCCGGCTTTTACCCTGTAGCAGGCGGCCCCATGACCTCAGTTCTGCTCTATGCCTGTTTGCTCACCTGCAAACCCCACAATGTGAAAAGTAAATGGGTTGAACCCAGAGAAGAGGCAGGGCACAATAATGTGGGGGTGTGTGACTTAAGGGAGGTGTCCCTTTCCTCCTGTCGGGTAAAGGGAGAGGAGCTTCTGGCCTTGCCAGGACCCTCTTGCTGGCTCAAGCCACTCTGGCTTCTCAGCAGCTTCCCTTTGCCTGGGGACATGCAGTACCTCTTAGGAACGCTAGGTGGCGGGGCAACACCGCTGAGAGTTTGGAAACTTGTTCTCTGTTGATCGAAAACCCCCACTGCTCCTAATAAAATATTAGCCTGGCATAGCTGCCTGTGAGCCGGCTTGGGATGGGACATGGACAAAGTAGCCCATGAGGGCACTGCAGGAGAGGTGGGAGTCTGGGAAGGTACTCATGTCTCCTGTTTGGCCTGCACTCTCCCAGCGTGGTAGGAGCAGGGGAGAGATCTAAAGGGAGCCAGGCCTCATCAACCCTGGTCTCTCCTGTCCCAAAGCCTGCTGCAGACACAGCAAGCCCCCGTGACTGGTCCTCTGTGACTTGCATCACACAGAATGGCCCTGGAAGATCATGAAAGCCTGAGAGCACAGGGGGCCAGCTTGCAGGCTTTCTTGGGACACAGAGCTGTTTACTTATGCGAACTGGGAAACAGGCAGACAGACCATAGCTCTCATCTCACGCTGCCTCTATCTGAATTCAGAGGTCCAAGTGCCCAAGTCCTAAACCCAAGGGCCAGGGGCAGGTGGGGCTTTAGAAGGCGACGAGGTGCCCTCATGAGCGGGATTAGTGCCCTGAGACAAGAGAGCTGCTGAGTCCCTTTCACCATGTGAGAACACAGTGAGAAGACACCGTCCACGAGGGACAGTCCTCCTGAGACACGGAATTGGCCAGTGCCTTGGTCTTCGAATTTCCAGCCTCCAGAACTAAGGATAAATTCCTGGGGTTCAGTTACCCAGGGTACGGTATTTCATCATAGCAACCTAAGCGGGCCAACGCCCACCTACCCCAGCAAGAAAGGCAGCGGGCCCAGACAGTGTGAGAACCCGGGTCACCCCTAGCACCTTCCCTTCCCCAGCCAGGGAGGCAGGTGACCAGGCAGTTGGGCAGCACCAGGGCCCAGGTCCAGGCTGCAGAGCACTCTTTCTATTCCACTCTCCTGGTTCTCCAGGTCTGAGCAACTCGACTGCTAAGTCTGGGGCTCTGGGTGTCCCACCGCATCCCAACTGGCTGAGCTCCACGCAGCAGGGGCGCACGGATCTGCAGGTCTCACAGGGCTCTGTCTGCCTCCTCCCGTGGCCCCTGCGGGTGGGATCCCGCTTCTTTCTTATACCTTGGGGTCTGAAGCAGGATGGCTGATGGGGAGACTCAGCAACATTGCCCCCACACTGTCCCCTGGCCCTGGCCTACACATGTATTCAGAGGGAAGGTTGAGGCTGCTGAGGGGTATGGAAGCCCCTGCCCAAGCTGGAGACCCCAAGGTCATTTTGGAGCCAAGGGCTAAGGGCTGTGAGGCGGGGCCTACCCCAAGTGCTGGGCCCACCCACTAGCTTTGGTGGGACAGAGAGGTGTTGGGGCCCCGGTGTGCCCACCCTTCCTCCTGGTGGGTGCCCCTCCACCTCCCTGAAACTCTGGCCTCTGGTGCTTTGGGCCAGTGTGAACGGGTCTGGTACTGTTCGGGGAGGTTAGGGCTGAGGATGGGAGGCATGTGGTGGCATACTGAGGTCATGCCCACCTGCACCTTTGCCTGGCAAACACTTGCTATATACAGGGCTGGGGTGTGGGTGGGCTCTGGCTGCCATGGCCAGACAAGGCGGGGTACAGGGGCTTTAGGCAGCCTTGGGTCAGGACTTGGGAACCTGGTGGCTTTCTCACAAGTACCCAAAGTGGCCCAGAATAGACTGGTCTTCTCCTGAGGGCCCTTGCCTATCCCATTGAAGGCCCCTGGGCTGCTGGGAACAGGAGGAAGCAACCCAGGGGGCCACAGCAGGATTGCGGGGTGGGGTGGTGCAGGCCCCACCCTGGCCCTGCTCAGCCCCATGCCTGGCCTGAGCCTGCTTTAGCTGCAAGGATTTGTAGAGACAGGGGTCTAGGCAGAGTGAAAAAATAGAATACATAGAAGATCATTAGGTTTTCTCTGACTCTGACTAAAAGGAGTTAAAAACAAACTTACTGGAGAAATTCCCCCAGGAAATAGGTCAAGGATGGGGGCAGAGAAAAAAAATGGAGAAGGCATTGGGTAGCATCGGTGGGTGGCACTGTAGCTCACCAGAGGGAGAAAGAGCTGACAGGCAGAGTCAGGGAGGGCCAAGCCTACAAAGCCAAGGAGCTGAAACAGCCACCCCTCCCCCACCGTAAGGCGGGCAGCAGGGGAGGGGGAGGGGCAGGGGCAGGGCTGACTAAGGGAAGCTCCTAGTACTCACACGTATGCACTAGCACACATACAAACATATATGCATATTCATAATCATGCAAGGCTCCCTATATATATTATCCACTCTGGGCCACAACAGACATCCACGTGCTCCTTTCCTAACTCTAAGCTGACCATGAATAAGGTACCCCCTTGCCAGCTTGCTGCCTACCCCAAAGATAAGGCCCTGAAAAGTAGCTCAAGGACAGCGTTATCGCTTGTGTCTAGATGTCCCCCCAAAGCCTCATTTGGTCATGGGTGGGACTTTTTCAGAGGTGCTGGATCTACAGTGTGTGACTGATTCATGGTGCAGTGCTCGGGTCAAGGGCACCAGGATTAAGGGTGCAAGTGTTGCCCGTCCTGGGTAGTCCGGATAAGATACAAGGGATAGAAAGAGCTGTGGTCAGCTTGTTGCTTTGCTACCTTCTGCCTGTCTGGAACTGTTTCTCCTCTGTGATGCCCATCCCCCACACCACCCTGCCTTGAAGCCAGCCAATTGCACAATGTGAGCTAAATAAACCTTTCCTCCTTTAACTTTGGGTGTTGGGTATTTTGGCTCAGCAATGAGAAAAGCAACTAAGACAGACAAGTAAACAGACACAGAAGCTTAGACCACCGGAAGAGATGACATAGGCAGAGGAGCCCGGAAATGAACTGAGTTACGGCAAGTTCTCGGTAGCGGGAAGGATCCTTGACCCCCTATAGAAGCAGCCGAGAATAAAGGGCCCCTATCCTGGGTCCTTCTTATCAGGGTACCTATCGATCTTCTCCCCCACCTTCCTTTTCCTCTTTACAAATAAAACGTATTCCTTTCCTTAAATATCGTTCCTCTAACTTTGGGGTGGGGGCTGAGTTTACAGTCCTGGGTGGGCTGCTCGGACAGCACAGCAGTGGTACTTGTCCCTTGCACAGGACATTGCTGGATCCCTGGGTGGGAACCAGGAATAACAGATTCACCTTCCAGCACAGTGGGAATCACCGCAGTCACTGCTGCCAGGATGAACCAGCACTCGCCAGCCCCAAGCCCGCTTCGCTTCTCCACATCCATCACATGGGACTTGACGGCAAAGCATCTGTTCTTTTAAAATTTTTTCTCGAGACAAAGTGTCGCTATGTAGCCCAGGCTCGTTTAAAACTTGTGATCTTTCTGCCTCAGCCTCCTGAGTGCTGGGACCACCTGGCTAGATGCGAAATTATCTTGTTTGCTTGCATTTTAAAAGTCCATTAAGGTCTACCTCTTCCCAGTGGAAGGAAATCCCATGAAAAACTTCGCTGTTAGCCACCCTGAAGTAGCTCAGTGGTGCTAGGTGAGAGGACGTGGCCCCAACCCAGGAGACTATGAACTGAGGAGAGCTGAGCAGTGCTTTTCTTACTGAGGAGTGAGAGCCTTTCACATATTGAGGCTGTCACTTTGCTGTGCTGGCTGGTGGGGACACCCTTGCTTTACTGTCGATATCTTCTCTTTTTGACATCTGACATTTTGACTTAACTTTTAGAGGTTACACGAAGAGCAGCCCTGATACCACAGTGACCATTCCTGTGAGCCTCTGGGAAGCTGCTGTCCCTGTTTGGGACAAATCCTAGGGAACAGGGTGGTTGGGTTTGGGGAGAAAGACTCAAGTCCCTGTGAACCTCGCCTTCTTCTGCTCTTTTCCCTCAGACTGGAGGGATTTTTGCAAGACTGGTGAGTGAGCTTGAAGTCCCTGCTACCTCCTTGACCTCTGGGTGCTGCCATGTGCATGTTCTGGGCTGGTAAAACCTAAAAGGCAGTCCAGGAGGTGAAGGCCCAAGTGCAGGGCGCTGGGTGAGGTGTTCACTCATTCTCAGGAGGCTTTGGTGTTGCCTGCCTTGCCCTACACTGCAGCCAGGCTCTGGCAGGATGCAGCGGGTAGTAGACTGGTGGGTGGGCTGGTGTGTGGCTGTATGGATGAGAGGGCGGAGGAATAGATAGATTAGTGGGTGGATGGATGGTTGGATAGATGGATCAGTAGGTGGACAGATTGGTGAGTAGATGAGTGGGTAAATGGACAGATGGATGAGTGGATGGATGGATGAGAGAATGCATGAATGGGAGAATGGACGAATGGGTGGGTGGATGGGAGAATGGATAAATGGGACAGATGAATAAATGAATAGATGGGTAAATAACTGGGTTAAAGAAGTTTGGCTTCTCCTGTGTTCCTAGGACTCCTGGAAGGCAAGTTCTTAGAACTCCAGGAAATATTTAACTAAAGAGGAAAACACAAGAATTCCAAGGTTTTTGGAGCCACAGGCCAAGGTTACCTATAACAACAAAGTTCGTGGTTTTGACGCTCTTCTGAGCTTTCCAGAACACACAATCAACGGGGTGTGGGGGTGCACACCCATAATCCCAGCAGTCCAGAGGCTGAGCCAGAAGGATTATTGTGAGTTCGTGACCAGCTCAGGCTACATAGTAAGTTCAAGTTCAGCCTGAATTAAAGAGTGAGACCCAGTCTCAAAAGCAAACAAACCAAACTACGACTCATAAAATCATTTACATCAGACTATTACACTGGATCTGGGCACATACTAAAAATGCAAACACATGCAAAGAGGGTTAGCTGCTTTTAAAACCAGAAAGCCCAGAGGAGACACTGGGGGCCTGGCACTCTCACTCCTTTCTTCAAGGCTGATGTCTCAGAGGGCGCCTCAGAGCTGATGTGGGTCAGCTGCACCCTGGAGGGTCCTGGTGGAAGGGTGGTCAGGGCCCCTTGTGTGGAGGAAGTGGTGGGAAGGAGGAGAGGGGAAGGGAAACTGAGGGTGGGTACAGCAACTTCCCCCTCCCTCATCTTACTGACAGCAGGGCCCCTTGACACCCCAGTAACCTCCCTCCAATGGCCAGGGCTGAATGGGCAGGTGCTGGGTGTCTCCAGGGGCCGCCATGTCTAAGAACTCTCATCTCTCCTGCTGCCACCCCCAGGTGTTCTCTAGGAAAAACGCTTGCCCCCTTCTTTACCTGAAGGCCCCTTATTATCTTTTACTGCTCAGCTCTGGCGCGGCCTTCTCTGGGAAGTCCCCCACCATCGTGTTGGCTGGTAACACACTCCTTCCATTTGGGTTCCCCACCTTCCCCACTCCAGTGGAGCAGTGGTGACATCCTCTCTTACTGCTGTGCTCTGGGCTCTGCTGTGAGCTCCCCCAGGCAGGGCAGGCACGGGGTCCCCAGGGTACAGCCCGAGTGTGGGCTGCTGGGCCACCTGGCTTGGGGTGTGAGATAGCGGGGGTGGAAACTCACCCTCCCCCAGCTGCAGGGCGGGGTCCATGAGCTCCATCATGTACTCCACGTCCAGAAGCATCTCTGTCAGGTTGCTGCGGGCCAGCACATACATGAGCACAGGCAGGAAGTCGTCGGCCCCATAGGGCTTCCCTAGGAGGAGCAGGAGGGAGAGAGGGCAGTGAGTTTCTGCCAGGTTCTCCCTGGGAGCCTGTCCCTGCCCAGCGAGGGACTGTGCTCAACCAGGCTGGCTGGTCACCCTGGGTGAAGGCCATTTCTACTCGGCCAGGGTTCTCGGGACACAGAGGGAGCTGGCTGAGATCAGCACCTTGCCCGCTACAGTTTTGGAAGAGGGAACTGGGGAAGTGGCCTTTTCCCTGTGCTTGGTCATCAAATTCATATCACACGGATTCCCAGGCCTGTCCAGAGCCACTGCCTCCAGGTAGCCCTGCCTGCGGGGCAGTTCCCTGCCCTTACCCACATATCCCTGCCCAGCTACAAAACAGAAAGCTCTTCCTGAGCACACTGCACGTCCACGACCCCACCAGCGGTGCCTTCACCCTGTGCTGTCCAGCCTTCCTAGGCTGGGCTCCCTGAAGACATCGGGAAGGAACAGCCTGTGTCTCCGCCTTTGTGGGTGAGGCTTCCAGTGCTCAGGGGATGCTGATAGCAGCAGATGCTGTCACCGAGACAGGCAGAGGGCAAAGAGGAGGGCCGTGGTTGGCTCAAAGGCCCATCCCAGTTTGTCTGTGGGTGACTTTGAAGACCACTGCAGACGATGCAGAACCAAGTGACGAGTTCCAAACAGGGACAGCACGGCCCCGAGTCCTCCTTGGCACCCAGCTCATGAGCACAGGGGTCAGGTAGCCTGACAGAGCAGCCTGCACAGGGGAACTGACCACACTGGGTCCCCAACCCAGCTTTTCACTTCTTCTAACATAGGGAGCCTGGGCTCAGGCTGGATTCAGCTAGAGGCCACCAGGTCTGTGTGTGACCCCAGGGAGAGCTGAGGGAGGGTAATGCAGTCACAACCCTGTATGTCCCAGGTGGACCAACAGCCCAACACATGCCAGCAATTCTGTTCTTTCCAAAAGTTAATTCCTCGGGGCTGGGGATTTAGCTCAGTGGCATAAGTGCCTGCCTTGCAAGCAGGCAGTCCTGAATTCGATCCCTGGTACCAATAAAAATGAAAAAGACAAAAAAAAAAGTTAATTCCTTGTCGACATGTTTTACAAAGTGGCCCCTGCAGAATATACCTGATAAAAGAGGAAAATCTAAATAAAAATATGAACATCAGGCTGGGTATGGTGGCACACACCTGTAATTCCAGCACTCTGGGAGGCTGAGGCAGGAAGATTGCCAGTTTGAGCCTAGCCGGACAACTTAGTGACTCAGCAAGACCTTGTTTCAGGACAAATTAGAAAAGGGCCAGAGGAGGTTTCAAGCTCTCTCCTTGGCCCAGAAGATAAGGTGTCAGCTGTGAAATGAAATGACACGAGTGGCCGGTGGCATGCTGTCATACCGAGGCCTGAGACAAAAGGAAAATGTGCTTCTGGAGGGTTCTTTTGCTTTTGGTTTTGTTTTTTGGTAGTGCTGGGGCTCAAACCCCTGAGACGTGTCTGCAGCCCTTATTTTGAAACCGTTTCTTGTTAAGTTACTAAATTGCTCAGGCAGAAACTGAACTCGCAATCATCCTGCCTTCGGTTCCCTCCCAGGCAGGACTAGGGTGCCGCGTCCATCTCTTCCGCAGATATTTATCAAAATACCCTCCCATATGCTGAACTATGCAGGGGTGGGGGGGTAACGAATGCTCTACAATTAAACAGAACCTCATTGTATGTAAAACCCAGGGTTATCAATTTATCTGCACACCGTGGAGAGCAGTAGGGCCAGGAAATCATGGGCTGATTAGAAGGGATCCATCGTGCTGCACAATAAGCTTGTGCTTATTTAAAATGTTGGTATCTTGTTCATCCTGGATTTTACAGTAATTTTTATATTTAAAAATACTGCATTAAAGTAGTACTTATGCTGGGGTGGTGGCCCACATCTGTGTTCCCAGGACTCAGGAGGCCGAGGCAGGAGGATTGCCTTGAGTTCAAGGCCAGCCTGAGTTACATAAGGGAATTCAAGGCCAGCCTCCACAACATAGCAATACCCTCTCAGAAAAAAAGTACTCATTTTGACGTATGGCCACTAGATTCCACCCTAAATTTTGTGTATCTGAGAGAATGGTTGTACACCCTGAACGTGCCCCATCTCGTGTGACAGACTGAAGACACACTTGCACACAATGACTTGAGCAGTGTTCCCAGCAGCAGTCTTGGTGACAGCCAACGAATGGGAACAGCCCAAATACTCCTCACTGGGTAAATGCAGACAAACTGCTCCATCCACACGGTGGACACTGGTAGGTATCACAAAGGGACAAGCTTGTAGGATGTCAGGACATCATGAAAATGTTTTCTTTTCCTCCTTTTTCCTTTTCCTCTTCTTCTCCCTCTTCATCTCCTTCTCCTCCTCCTCTTCCACCCTCTCATTCTTCTTTTCCTTCTTTTTTATTCGTATGAAAATGTTATCTTCTGTGACAGAATTCAATCACAAAAGATCACACATTGCATGATTCCATTTCTAGAAAATGTTCAGAGTAAGGAAATCTAAAGAGACAGAAAGCAGGTCGGTGGTTCCCAGGAAATAGTGGGAGGTAGGATAGAGTCTGTTTTGTCAGTGATGAGAGTGTTCAAAATTAGAGTATTTGGAAATACAACCTTGTGCATATACCAAAAACCGCTGAATTTTAAAAGATGTGTATGTGCACACATACAAATATTTTGTTACTGACATTTTAGGGTACTCCTTATATTGTGTCTCTAAAGTGAGTGTCTCATCTCACCCAAATCCTGGCCCTATAGGTAGAAGTTAGGGCAGAGAATGGCACAAAAAGTGCACTGGGTAATTGTCAGCATTGTAGATGACACTGGCATGGGCCCTGCACACATGGAGGTGGAGGGAATCATAGCTGGTCTCTGCCCTCTGGACCCTCCCAAACTGAGACCAACAGCCAAGCCAGGGACTGTGACTTCAGGGTCATGGACAACCAGCCAAGGAAGACTTTGCCTCTTCATCTCCTCTGCCTTGTTCAGTGTCTATTTTCATAGTAAAAGAACCTCTGATTTAGTTGGAACATGGTCTTCAAAAATAAAGACTACATTTCCCAGCTTCCCTTGCAGCTAGGTGCAGCCTTATATCTAAGTTTTAGTCATTGGGACTCAAGAGGGAAGTGGCATATTCAACTTCCAGGCCATGCCCCTGAGGGGAGGGAGCATGCAGATAAAGAAAAGCTCAAGCATGGTGGAGAAAGAAGGTGGGAGAAGTCGGGGGTCCCTGAGGACTGTGCAGATGAGAAGTATCCTGCCAACCTGCACCAGAAAATGCGGGTGAAGAAAGGTTCAGTTCTGTGTCAGCTGTGGCAGTGTGCAGGTGTGTAACCTGCAGTCTACACTGCAGCCTGAGGTCTCCAGAGCACAAGCTGTCAACATCAGTGGGAAGCACACCCAGTCAGTGGCCAGAGCGGCCACTGCACACCTGCTCAGACACTCACCAAAGCCTCTTCCTAGCCAGGCTGCCCCTCGGTCTGATTTCCAGAGAACACCGTGCCCTGTTTTCTGCTCTCTTGGTCACACTGTATTTCTACATCTGCAAACTGGGATCAGCAACACAAGCTCTGACAGCCTTTTGGGGTTTTTGAGAGAACAAGATGAGCAAAAGATTATGAACTTGAAGCAGCACCTGTAAAGGGCTACCAAAAGGATTTCTGGCATCTGGGTGCTGCTTCCCCAGGTAGCTCAGATGCACCTGTAAGATGAACAGGCTGAAGGGGTTGGCAACCCGTGGCAATGAGTCAGACTTGGGAGTGTCGGTCCCAGGGCATGACCTACCAGCTGTGTGACCTTTGCATATCTGCTTCCTTCTCTGAGCCTGCATTTCCAGTCATATTTGAAGGCACACAGATAACATGACCATGCCATGGGTATCAGTGACAATACTATGACAAGATTTACATGGAGTGCCCCTGCCATGCTCTTGTGAAAATGCCTGCTAAAGGGGACCCCCAATCTTCCTACCTGAGCTCTGCAGCCCCAGCTCCTCTGCTTTCCTGGCTTCAGGCCCTCCCAGAGCAGAGTTCATTCTGAGGAGTCTCCTGGAACCTTTATGAGCCTGAAGGACTTCTGGGGAAATATTTCGTGCTTGGAGTTTTTTTTTTTTTTTTTCTCATGTGGATAGTTTAGTTATTAAAATTCTGGTCCATGGAGATTTGTATTTTCTTTGTTGATGGATGGCTAGGGAACAAGGTGAGTCGGATGGTGCGGCTCTGAACCGGAACTGGGCCTGAAGGGTTCCCTCGCAAGTCACACCTTGCCTTGGAGCTGACAGCTGACGCAGTTGGCACTCCACCTCCAGGAACATATTTTCCTCTGTTGTATAACTCACAGTCCCGCAAGCTATTTTGCTGCCAGGAAGTGGTTCTCAGCTAGGGTGGTTCTGTCCCCCAGGGGACGTCTGTTGAGGCCTGGTGTTGCTTACTGATTAGCAGATCTGAGGGATGGGCAGCGATGGCTCGAAAAGTGCCCCCAGGGCACAGGGCAATCCCTGCCAAAACTCACTGAGCTTCAAACCTGCAGTGGCAAGGGAAACTGCCCTACCTGGGGGTCAGGACTCTCAGCCAAAGGATGGTCCCGCTGGGTCAGGGCCTTGGAGGCTGGGCCATGTCTTGTGACGGGTGCAGAAAGTCCTTGGTGCTTGCTTCTTTGCTCCCTGCTTCCCTGGAGGAAACCCTGCTGACCCCCATGATGGAAACTGGGGGCCCATCTCTGGTTTCCTCCATAGTGTGTTCAGTCCCACGTCTGTCCCCCAGCGGCCTCCTGACACCTCGCCTCTGCCTCTCGGTACACAGCCTGGCACATCAAAAGGGCACAGGAAGTGTTCCGGGGAGTGAGTGAATCAGAGTACTGAGGGTGACTCAAGTCCCTGGGGGACTTCCGGCCTCAGCGGCCATGGCCTTTCAGTCCCCAGAGAGAAGGCTGGGGTCCCCCTGCTCCCTGGAGCCCTGTCCCACTCAGAGTCCCCCATCTGACCACTTCCTGTCCTCACTA